AATGAGTCAATTTGTGAAACAAACAATCAGAACAAAGAGATTAGGGCATGTATGGAGAAAGTAAAAACAATCCCTTTTGACCAGAGATAAGGAATCATGGAAATGAAGATTAGAAAAGCAAATTAGAGGTCAAATCAGGTAATAGGTAGAACCATGGGCATTCAGTTTGGTGTTAGAAGGCCTTTTTAGACTGGGTGTGGTGGCTCATCCGATTTTGGGATTGCATCCCCAAATCCTGTAATCCCAGCATTTTGGGAAGCCAAGGCAGGCAGATAACCTGAGGTCAGGAGTTCGAGACCAGCCTGGGCAACATGGTAAAACTCCATCTCTACTAAAAATATCAAAATTAGCCAGGCATGGTGGCACACACCTGTAATCCCAACTACTTGGAAAGCTGAGGCAGGAGAATTGCTTGAACCTGGGAGGTGGAGGATTGAGCCACTGCACTCCAACCTGGGCAACAGAGTGAGACTCCATCTCAAAACAACAACAAAAACAGAAGGCCTTTTTAGTGTATCTTAGATTATGTGGATGAAACAGCTTCTTTCCATTTCCAGGCATTTCTCAGGCTCCAAAACATTTTAAAGAAGGAAAAATGACTACATAAAGGCAGGAAAACACAAGTAGATGCTCAATAATAGCCTTTTAAAAAATTGAATGAAAGAGTGAAATTATTCAATCCCAGAATGGTGTCGGGTTTTACATAAACACAGTGTACTCCTGATTCACATTCTGTTGTGGTCAGTTCTGACCCCCACGTGTTTTTCTCTGATGCTCTTACCTATCTTATATTTGTACTCTCGGGTGTATGTCTTTACAAGCACATTTTCTTATTTTCAACCCTAATTATCATAAGCTTATTTTTCCGATGCATAGAGTCATTTAGAACTTTATTACTATTTTCCAGAAAGCAAAACCATACCAAATTCGGGACCCACAAATTTGATGCACACATAAGCTGAAAAAACTGGTCCTCAGGACCAATCCCTACTGGGCCATCACTCAATATGTCTACTATTTATTCCCCATCTCCATTATCTACAAATCTCCCACCAGATATGCAGCTTGTTAAAAGCAACGTGGTCCAGATTCTTTTTTTTTTTTTTTTTCCAGGTTATCTAGTGAGCAGATTACACAGGAAACTTCTCCCTATTCTTGGAATCCTATTCCTTTGTTATAAGAAATTAAGGTCATCTATATGATTTGCTCTTCACAGAACCACATTGACTCCTGTTTAGTGTCTCAGGATTTCCTGGATGACTGCAAATTGATTGTTTGATGGTTCTTTCTCATTTTTCCTAAAGATCAATAAGTTGGCAGTCTTTAATTACTAGGGTCATTCATGTTTCTCCCTGTTTCCAAGACAGCCGTATTTGTCCTTTTCTGGTCTTTAGGGATTTCTCCAGTTCTCCATGACTTCTCAAAAATAATGACCTGTGAGTCTGTAGCCACATCTGCTTGTTTAGCAACTATCCCTAGGGTGCATATCACCAAATTCAGTGGATTTGAATACTTCCAGTTTTCCTTCCCTCATTAACCATTTCTCTGCCTTTGATTAGTGTTCATTTCCCGAATTCCATCTTGACTGAATTTATTGTAGTCAACTACTTACTTGTGATCTATGCTGAAGAGACAGGATAGAAGGCATTAAAAAGTTCAGCCTTATCCATCTCAAAATTAATAAGAATTCCTTCTTTATCATGAGATCAAATTTTTTCCTAGTCTACTATTTTGGGCCAAGTGATCTTTTAAAAAATTGTTTATTTTGCTTTTCTGTACATGCTCATTTTATGCTTCTCCCAATTATGACCATTCTTATTCCTCCCCTCTTCTCCTATTCCCTTATGTTCTGTTTAAGGCATCTGATCAAATTTTCCACATGTTGTGTGCCCATTTTATATAGAAAAGTACTAGGCACTAAGGACACAAAACAATAAAAAGCATAACCTTACCGTTAATTTCACAGTCTAGTTCAAAAAAAGATCAGGAAAGAAGAAAGTTGTAGTTTTGGCTGGGTGCGGTGGCTCATGCCTGTAATCCCAGCACTTTGGGAGAGGCCAAGGCGGGCAGATCACCTGAGATCAGGAGTTCAAGACCAGCCTGGCCAACATCGTTCTCTACCAAAACACAAAAAAATTTGCTGGGTATGATGGCAAGTGCCTGAATCCCAGCTACTCAAGAGGCTGAGGCAGGAGAATTGCTTGAACCTGGGAGGCAGAGGTTGCAGTGAGCCAAGATTGTGCCATTGCACTCCAGCCTGGGCAACAGAGCGAAACTCCATCTCAAATATGCAACAAACCTGCATGATCTGCACAAGTGCCCCAGAACTTAAAGTATAATAAAAATAAAATAAATTTTAAAAATAACGATAATAATAAAGACTGGTGTTGAGTCCAAAAAAGAAAAAAGAAAGAAGAAAAACATAAGTCCTCTTTCTGCTGTATTCCTACATTGCCTTTATTATAAAACCGATTTCAGTACATTGTGATCATCTGTTTGCCTGTCCTTTTTGACCTCCTCAAAAGTAGGGATGACATCATATTCACCTGAAACTCCAATGTCTCACATGGTGCCTGACACATTATAGGGACTCAGTATGTGTTTGATAAAGGATGAGACAGAGGAGACAATATACAATAACATCTGTTAGATGTTGCAGGTGGTTAATTCTACAGAGGAAAGATCACTCCTTCAGAGTATGATGATCAACAGAGGCCCCATATTTTTTCATTTCATATAGCATTCTATAGACATTTAAATGTTTGTTTTCTCACCTTCCCTGCATTTAAAGGTAAAGTTGATTCCCTTTATCTTACCCTTTTAAAAAAATATTTATTTTCATTATTTTTTTTAATTGACAAAGTATATTTGTATATATTTGTGGGGTACAAAGTCATATTTTGATATAGGCATACAATGTAGAATGACTGAATCAAGCTAATTAACACATCTGTCACCTCACTTATCATTTTTGGTGGTAAGGCATTTGAACTTTACTCTCTTAGTTATTTAACCCTTTTTTTTTTGAAAACAAGAAAATGCTCTAACCTATGGGAAACTTTCTCTTACAATAAGTTTATTATTCCGTTTTCACACTGCTATAAAGAACTACCGGAGACTGGATAATTTATGAAGAGGTTTAATTGACTCACAGCTCTGCAGGACACATGCCTGAAAGGCCTCAGGAAACTTACAGTCATGGCAGAAGGTGAAGGGAAGCAAGCATGTCTCACCATGGCAGAGTAGGAGAAAGAGAGCAAGGCATGGGGTACCACACACTTTTAAACCATCAGATCTTGTGAGAAATCACTATCATGAGAACAAAAAGGGGGAAATCCACCCCCATGACCCAATTACCTCCCACCCGACCCCTCTTCCAGTTCAACCTGAGATTTCGGTGGGGACACAAATCCAAACCCTATTTATTAATAAATTACCTGACTCATCACTCGTAACTTTGTGTCACAACCCCCACTGCCCATAGTGACAGGGGCATGGTGTCTGTATTTTCTGATTATTCATTATCTGAGTCCCGGCAGTTGTATAGAGAATCAAAAGTCATGACCCAAATAGTTCACTGGAGAACTGACCACATAAAAAAACAAAATTCCATTCAAACATCCCTGTAACTTAACTTGGTTGACACTATTGAATCAACAACTTTGTTCAGTCTCTGCTGCTTTTGGAATACTATGATGTGACAATATAATGCAAGTTCAGTGAAAATCCATTACGGGGCAAAATTTAAAATCTTGTAAAAGATACAGAATTCATTAAAACTGAGGATGTAGAGACCTAATCAAATAGCATGCAAAGCCACTGACAACTGAGAATCTAGAAGTGGTAGACCAGCTAAGTATTGAAAAACATAACACGAACAAGGATTTCATAAAGTATGACTTGAATACCAACATTTTTAAAAATATGCCAGGAAAAAAAATGAAAACTTTAAATACTTTTATAAACATTATCTTCTTCATGATTACATTGCAAAAGTCAAATAGAAGTAGTATCATTTTAGCTATCATACAATTTGGCCTTAAAAATTAAGCCAAAAAGACTCTAGGCTTGATTCATTCTTTCTTCATTCTCCGAATTAGTGCATAATTATAGCTACAACTTAAATGTTAACATAAATTAAATAAACCTCTTGGCAGTACTTTTTAATTTTCAAGATAAGGAACCTACTTACTATAAAAATTTGGATTCTATTTTTACTTAAAAATAGACTTCTCCACTTTAACAATCCAGAAATTACAAAGCTTCCTTAACTGTTCTGTCAGCTTTTATACTTGCAAATATCTGTTTTCTCCCAGCTAAATACTAAAATCTGTAAGGGCAGAAACTATCGACTCAATTTTTATTAGCTGCTTCCACCACCACCTATTCCCAATCAACCCATACAGCTACACTGGCACAGAAATCTTAGGCAAATAAGCATATAGAATATATTAAAAACTGATTACCTGGCCAGGAGGAAAATTCCCTGAAGGTAAGAGTAGCTGCGCCACTATTTCCCCAGCATTCATAGTATACATGAGGTTTCTCACCTAATTATTTAGTGACAGCTCCTTTCATTCATGATAGGCCTGCCTTAGAAAGGAAAAGGTTTTGAGATTGCCCTTCAAGGTGTTTTCTTTTCTTTTCTTTTTAATTGTACTTTAGGTTCTGGGGTACATGTGCAGATCATGCAGGATTATTGCATAGGTACATACATGGCAAGGTAGTTTGCTGCTTTCATCCCCCCATCACCTATATCTGGTATTTCTCCCCTCATTATCCCTCCCCACCCTCCCTACCCCCGCTGTCCCTCCCTTAGTGCCCCCTCTACTGATGGCAGTGTGTGATGCTCCCCTCCCTGTGTCCATGTGTTCTAATGGTTCAACACCCACCTATGAGTGATAATGTCCCGTGTTTGATTTTCTGTTCTTGTGTCAGTTTGCTGAGAATGATGGTTCTTGTTTTCTTGTTTTCTTCTTTCTTTTTTTTTCACCCTACAGGATATTCTCTCCTATCACAAAAGGAGTCATCAACGTCTCTCTCCTGGATTATATCTGGGCTACCTAAAGCTCTGTAGCTCTGTGGATCAAATCAAAGTTCTTGTTACCCAAAAGTTGCCCAACATTCTCTGCCACGTGAAGATCCGTGAAAACAATAACATTTCTAGGTAAGTGATCAGGAGTTAAGATTTTCCGTGTAATGAAACAGTGGCTCAAGTGACCAAGTTGATGTGCCAGAAGGAAACTGAGGTGTTACTTCCCAGTGCAGTTTCTATGGTGAGGTGTCCTCAGGTGCCACACTGAAGCAGGGCAGAGCTTAGAGTTTTTGTTTGTTTGTTTCAGGTTTTTTTTGTTTGTTTGTTTGAGATGGAGTTTCACTCTTGTTGCCCAGGCTGGAGTACAATGGCGCAATCTCAGCTCACTGCAACCTCCACCTCCCAGATTCAAATGATTCTCCTGCCTCGGCCTCGCAAGTAGCTGGGATTATAGACATGCACCACCATGCCCGGCTAATTTTGTATTTTTAGTAGAGACTGGGTTTCACCATGTTGGTCAGGCTGATCTTGAACTCCTGACCTCAGATGATCTACCCATCTTGGCCTCCCAAAGTGCTGGGATTACAGGAGTGAGCCACTGTGCCGGACCAGAGTTTAGTTTTAACAATAGAATAAGGAGGGCTTGCCTGATGGTTAATGGAAGGAGTGAACCCATTAAAGAGGACACTGTTCTTTCACGTTCCTCTCTGCATTACTCGTGGCACAACTACTAACGTTCAATTCCTTAATGAACAGCTGACCTTTTCTTTCAGCACTGCTATTTCCAATGTATTTTCTTTACAATCTAAAACAGTCATGTTCTTTTTGTTTTCTGTTTTTAAATATCACCTATAGGAATGGGTTTCATAGAGCCAATGATTCCCCAGATTTAAAAAAAATCTCCTCACCCTCATTCTCCCTAACTCTAACCCTCTGGCCTGAGGTCCTTGCATGTTTTCTACAACCCTTATAATTCTCTATGGAAGAAAAGAAGTAACAAGGCCTGAGCTTCTGGAAACTTGCTCTACAGTTTGGCATTTGGTGAATTACCCTGTTAGCTTTGGGAAAGCTGCCCAATCTTGGTAATCTGGCTCAACTTTACAACTAACCCTCATAGCAGGCCTCTGAAAGTCTGCTAAAATGAAATGAATTGCGCTCAACATAGAAAAAGAAATAAAGAAAAGAAAAAAAGGAAAGGAAGGAATAGACAAGAAAAAAAAAAAAAGAAATTATCCAGAATTCTTCAGACTTCAAAGAGTATAAATTAGATACTCCCAAAGAGTATAAACTAGATTCTAGTTACACTCATGGATTTGCTTAGCCAAAGGAGACTCTAATTTGGTCATTTAAAATGTGATCCCTAAAATGGCAAGACTTTATCAACTCTAGTGTCTCACGAGGTTTCTTAAGCATTGCTTGATGACAGTGGAGGAAATGATGATGAGGAGGAGGAGAAGGAAGATGATAACGGTCTCTCTGAGGAACTCACTACCATAGTCTCTCCTTTCACTTGTCAACTACACCTGGATTTTAAGTCTGCCATCTGGTGGTCATTGCCACAATCATCAGTTATCGCCTCAGTCCTTCCCAAAAGGTTACATAGTTCATTTGTGGGTTTGACTTAGTGATGATTACGTTTATCTGTTTTCTAGATTTGTCTCTTAAAGGCTTGAACTCTATCTCCTAGTGATTATACCAACTAATTTTCCCTTGCCAAGGATGCAGTTTTCATTTGTACAAAAGATTGCAGTGGCCTGTTCTCTGCCAGTTCCGTCTCCATCCTTCTAGCCAAAACTGATTAGTGGTAGGTGTTTCACGGTATTCCTAGTGGTAATTTATTTTCTAGCTTGATTACAAACCCTGCTTTAGCCATGTTGTCCCTTAGGTTTTATGCGGGCATATGCTAGTCACAGACCTCTCATTTTGTTCTGTATCAGTGATGGAAAAAAAAAAAATAGTTCCCAAGCAGGTTCTTAAAGGTTTCAATTATTTGTGCCCAACAGTATGCCCAGATTGCAGTCGGATTTAATTTTGAGGTTTTTTTTTTTTCTTACCAGGACAAAGGGTAAATTTTCCATAGTCTTGTACAGTGTGAGACTTGAAACAGATATCTTGAAAAGAGAAACTTTTCTAAGAGGTAGTTAGTTAAAAGAAAGTAGTTTCTGATGAAAAGCTCATGCTACAATCAATTTGGTTTTCTGACCCACAGATTGGAGCCCAGGCTGGTGGAGCCCTTTGGGAAAAACCTCGGAGAGTTTTCACCAGGGTGGGAACATACGTCAGCACCTCCTCTTTTTCCATCCCCTGAGAGGAGGGCTTCCCTTTCCTCTCTAGCCTGCCCCTGAGAGCCTACTGCTGCTCCCTGCAGAGCTCCAAGGAGAAACTGGGCCAACTGAATGTGTTTAGAGACTTGTGCTAAAATACCTGTGGAAACAATGTTACCTAAGAGGCATTTACCTTGATCTTTTCAAGTTCCTTTTGAAGAGCAGCCTTTGGGGGCAAACCAGATGTCCTTTCTTCCCACCTCCATTCTTTTCCCTTCCCTTCTGTATGACATTTGGAAAAGTTCATCAGGAAGGATTATAGAGCATGCAGAATAAAAACACAGATGACTGGTTTGTAAGGAGGATGGAAGTCGTGATATGTGTCCCCTGGTTCCTTTTATTGGAATTGTCTGGTGTTCCTGTTTGTGATTCTCCTCAAGCTTTTGGAAGGGGAGAAAAACCAAAATAGTCCCCACGATTACAACAGGCCAGGGTTGAAATGTGCCAAGTGGTTAGTTGCCTGAGTTGGACCAGAGTCCTGTGGTTACTCAACTGCAGAATTAGCTAGCAGATGCCCCTGTGGTAAAATGCAGGATCTTAGAATTTACAGGGGATCTGCAGAGAAAGAAAAATGAGGACAGTCAGGAAATTATTACAAAGTATTTGAGAACCCCAATCTCAAAAACCAATTCATACAAATTAGACCTGCTGTTCTGAGGTATATGTGGTTTGATAGGTGAACTAAGCTTAAATTAGAAAGAGATCACTTTAAGCTCCATTTGGGTGGCAAAAAGTTCAGATTTCATGAATTACACTGAGTTTTAACCACCAAGTATTGGTTATCCAGGTTCTGGACACATATACTAAGAAAGTTCTGAGCTGTGTTCTGAACTTTTGTTGTATTTCTAATTTTAACTTGACTCAACATACAGAGAGGAATGGGAATGGATCCAAAAGCTTTCTGGCTCTGAATCTATGGAAAGTGTGGATCATACTTCTGACTGCCCCATGCAATTGTTCTTCTACGAGCTCCAGATGGCAGTGAAAGCTCTCCTTCAGCAGATCAATATACCTCTACACCAGGTACTAGACTTTACCATTTTTATCTTCTTTTTTATGGCACACGGAAACTGCATTGTAACATTAAACGTGGGGTGTGTGTGTGTGTGTGTATGTGACTTTTCCTTGACTTAAATACCACTTTGCATGTACATGTGCATGTCGAATGTGATGTCCACAGGTAGACAAAGGCTGCACTTCTCCTTTTCTCCAGCTCCTCTGTGTTGGACCTCTTCGAAGTTTCCTGGACCCCACGGTACTATGGTCTGGTCAGGCTAAAAAAAAAAAAATCAATAGCTAGTCTACCTTGAAAGACACCAAGCTCAGCTTCAAGATAGCATAAAGTAAGGAGAATATATAAATAAATAAAAGTGTACTCAGATGTACAAATGATTTCTCTAAGAATAGAAGGCTAACAGTAGTATAATCTATAGCAATGTCTCGAGGATATGCCATGCTATTTTTTCCCAGAGAACTTTCCATCAGAATTATTGTCTTATATAAACCAAAATGTGGAAATCTAACCTCTACTAATAAGCAACTTCAAGAAAAACTATTGGCATAAAGGAGAATAATAAAAGTTTCTCAGGCTCTGCCCAATAGGTTAGCATTACTGAATGTCTTTGGTGGGGGGGCTGTGTTCATCAATCCTGCCCCCCTCCCCAAAACACACACACACACAATGAACCAACTTTAGCCTGTAAACTGGGAGACCATTACAGACTGGCTCTCTTTAAAAATGAGAGAGAACCATGAATTGTCCTCTAACCCATGGAGGTATAAATTAGGGTTCTAAGAATGTGCTTCCATTGGGGTGCTGTTTTAAGTCTAAAACAGCCAACACTATTGAATACTAAATTGTGCAAGATGCCATAAAGACAGTAGGGAAGCAACTGAATTATTCTAAGGGTGGCCATGCATTCACTAGGGAAAAAAAAATAAGAGCTCCATTTCTGACAGTCGATCCTATTAAAGAGTTTCTTGGACTTAGCAGGTTTGAAGCCGCTCATATTTCATTGGTGACTCTTGGGCTACATATACATGTTAGGAGAAGGCTGCCTGACTGCCTAACGGTGCATACAACTTTTTTTTTTTTTTTGGATACTTGTAAAATTTTCTCAGCCCTTGGCCAGAAACTACGTTTTTCCCCCTTAACCAACTTAAATTGAAACTAGTGGATTTTTAATTCAATCCATTTTTGTTGCTTCATGTAATTATAGTCATCATTTTGAAAAGCCCACAGAATGCAATCATTTTCTGCTTTTATAAGAAGCATAAATGTTGTTTTCAGAGTTTATGTGGAACATTACTGCCTTAAATCTTGATTTTATATAGCATTATTAAATGGGCTGAACCCTAATATTTATGTTGTATAAAAATTCCAAGCTTGAAGTCGTGTAATTTTGTTAGATGTTTTATGCCAGTTTGGTGTTGTTTATGTAAGTGCCATGTTGTAACTCTCCTATTTTTCCTCCGCGCGTGTCCCTCTGCAGGCAAGGAACTTCCGCCTCTACACACAGGAGGTGTTGGAAATGGGTCACAATGTGTCCTTTCTTCTCCTGCTCCCTGCCTCAGACGACGTCTGTACAGCCCCAGGACAGAATAATCCTTACACCCCACACTCAGGGTTTCTTAACCTCCCTCTTCAGATGTTTGAACTTGGTATAGTAGCTTGTTTCACCTAGAAATATTAACCCAGCCTCCTTATAATAAAATCACAAAGTTATATCTGTTCCCCCTTGTCCCAGTGGAGGGTCAATAAATCACATGATGGCTTTGGCAACAACCCTTCCTAGAACTGTGTACAAGTCTGAGAAAAAGCAAAGCTCCAAGACTATGTGCCTGAGCAATAATTATTGAAACCTAGCAAAGGCCCAATGGAGAAGAAGGAATTCTAAACAGAAAGTTCAGTTATCAGGCTGGACTTCTTGCCTCCCTTATGCTTTCTTAAAACATAAATATAAAAACCAATGTTTTCATGAAAAGCACTGCCCCTTCTCTCTCTCTCTCTCTCTCTCTCTCTTTCTCTTTCTCTCTCTCTCTTTCCCCTTCCCTCTCTCTCACTCTCCTTCCCTCCCTTTCTCTCTCCCCTCCCCATATCTCCAACTAGAGAAAAAAATAATAAAGAGATTAAAATATAGAATGCCTATCACTTTGGAGGGAAAAAAAGCCTATAATTTTAAGTAGCACTGACTTATTAAATAGACTCTAAATTTCTGACAGACCATTTGAGAAATAGACAGAGTCTCCCAGGACGCAATATTGTGATTATAATGTGGGATTCTGAATGGTGGGCGATCTTGTCCTGACTTTCAAAAATGAATAGCCTGGGCTCCAGTTTCTCTACTTTTGCAGAGACCCCCGCTGCCCACTGAGATTGTGAATAGGGAGGCTTTGTCCCCTTCCCATGCTTCATCTTGTAACAGGCCAGTAAGAGGCAATTAGCAAGAGTTCCGTTAGCTCAAATGAATTGTACAATTTCCAGGAGGGTGAGTGAGTGGGTGGGTGGAATGGAGGCAGACCCTCTTTGGATTGCTCCCCAACCACCAGATTTAGAAGCAGACAAGGCTACTGCCTGATGTCTCATTTGAGCCCTGGGCACCTGCATCTGAATTTATCCCTTAAGGATGATTTGCTTAAGCCTCTCAGTTTCCCTTGCTCCAAGCACTTCAGATGCCCAAAAGCTGATGAACAGCAATTGTTACTTTCTAGTGGAGGGAGTGTTCGTATGAGAAGCTCAAATCAGACTTGTAGACTGGGACGTGAGAGGCCTTGGTTTCCTATTATGTGACACTGGCAATTGCTTAACCTTTCTACACCTTTTCTATGTCACACAATTAATCACACTGGCCATACCACTCCCAAGAGGCCTGGATGTGAATATGACCATTTAATGAGTTCCTCAGCCAAAAGGCATTATTAGTCTGTAATATAACAACACTGCTTGGGGCAGGCTCTTTCCATTCAACTCAATTAAGTGTCTACTGGGTACCCACTGTGGAGATTTAGAGGTAAGACAAAGGTTCTACCCCCTTATCTACCAAAAGGGGCTTTCGGTATGGTGGCTGGAGTAAAATAATACAAATTATTATAAAACAAGGTAGACTGTGCCAGAAATTGGAACTGTTGATATTGAAAAAAATAAAAGCATATTTTCTCAAAGAAGATATGAGAAAGTCTTCATGGAGGAGAGGATATCTGATACAGGTGTTGAAGAACAAATAGGATGTTAATAAACATAAACAAAAAGAAAAGCTTTCTTGTTAAGGGAGTAGAATGAGCAAAAACATGAGGACAGAAGGATTCAGGAAGAATCAGGGAGAGAACAAGTGGTCCAGTTTGGCTAGATCAGAGAAATGAGGAAAAGGTGGCATATAAATCTGTACAGATAAGATAAGCCATATTGAGCAGTATCTTCAGCATCAGGCTGAGGAATCTGTCTATGATAGATGGGAATCGGAGGACAAAAACTTCAAAGATTATTTTATTCATCCAGTGTTAGGGTAGGAACTAGCAAAAGAAGAAAACAAAGAAAGACAAATGTTAAAAAAAAAAAAAACAGTTGCCCAAAAGTAGGTAACTATTTAAATGAGAAGTCTAGAGAATATTCTCATTGTTTTCAGCTTTTTTTTTTGAGACAGAGTTTCCCTCTTGTTTCCCAGGCTGGAGTGCAATGGCGCAATCCTGGCTCACCGCAACCTCTGCCTCCTGGGTTCAGGCAATTCTCCTGCCTCAGCCTCCTGAGCAGCTGGGATTACAGGCACGCACCACCATGACCAGCTAATTTTTTGTATTTTTTAGTAGAGATGGGGTTTCACCAAGTTGACCAGGATGGTCTCGATCTCTTGACCTCATGATCCACCCACCTTGGCCTCCCAATGTTTTCAGCTTTAATGACTATGAGGCTATTGCTGCCTTTATCAGAAGTAAGGAAATCAGAAGAGGAAATGGTTTGCTGAAGGAAGTGATGCTTTTAGCTTTGAATATGTTGAGACTGAAGGTGCTAAGTCAATATCTAAGTGGACTTGTTTCACTGGCAGTAGAAATGCAGGAGAGAAATTGGATACTAAACACAGAAATCTGTCCAGTATCTATTAATAGCAGCTGAAGCCATGAAAATGAATGATTTCTCAGGGATATATAATTGACAGAGATAATTAAGGAAAACACTTCATCAGAGAGCTAACCAGGATTCCATTCTGTGTTCAACGGTCATTGTTATTCCATGATTATAGGCACAAATACATGAAATTTATTTCCCCATGCCTCATTGGCTTTGGTGGGAACAATCTACAACTTGGTATCAATCATTACGGTATATGTGACTCCCAAGGCCCTGGAGGTCCAAGCCCTGCAAATATCCTCTCTAGCCTGTTTCTGTGAGGCTCACACACTCTTCTTGAGCAGCTACCCATTGCCCTGCTGTTGTTACTCTCCATTCTACAATTTGGTGAAGTCTGTTAGCATTTCTTTTCTTCATTCAACTTTTCATTCATTCATCAATAAATATTCATTGAGTAACCTACTATGCCAGGCACTGAAGAATCAACAACGAACAAACGTTAATTGGAGCTTAACATTCTAGTGGAAGAGAAAAATAACAAAGCAATCAGTAAACCATAATGTTGTAAATATCAGAGAAGTGAAGGTCATGAAGAAAAATTAATCTGGGTTGGGGTCTCAAGTGAAGTGAGCTGCACTTTATACAGCTGGGTGATCTGGGAAGGCCTCTCTGAAGAAGATACATTTGAGCAGAGACCTAATATTTCCAGGCAATGAGAACAGTAAGTGTAAATAAAGGCCTTAGAGTAAGAGTGAGATCTGCATACCTGGAGTGTAGTAAGGAAAAGCAACAAAGTAGGAGATGAGGTCAGAGAGTCATGGCAGCTAGACCATGCAGGGCCTCACAGGCCACGATAGGGAATTTAGATTTTACTTTAAGTATGTTGGAAATTCAAGGAAAGATTTTGAGCAGTAGAGTAACATGAAAAGCTCTGCAAAATCCAGTGGTCATCCCCCTAAAAATAAAAAAAAATTTAATTTTTTTAAAAGCTTAACTTTGTTTAACCCAGCATTTTCCACATTCATTTCACCATAACTAGAGCAATGTTTTGCAAGGGACCTGTTAATAATCCATAGAACATATACTTTGGGATATGGTAGCTCTAGAAAAGTGCTTCTCCATTTGTAACCTCCGTAAGAATCACTTGGAGAGATTGTTAAAATACAGATCCTTGGAGCCCAACCCCAGAGATGCTGAGCCAGTAGGCTCAGCAGAAGGCTAGAAAATTTACATTTCTAGTAAGTTCTCAAGTAATACTAATGCTGCCAATCCATGGACCACACTTTAAGTATGACAAAGAGATTAATACATAAATACAAAACTAGAGACGTGGTTAACACAGGAATTCAGCCAAATTCAGCTGTGCCTGTCCTTTTTACCTGTTTTACTTCTTCACATTTCTGGAAGCAATATGAGAGCATCAGATACTATCTTCCATCTATGAAATATAGGCCTCAGATCAAAGCCTTACTTTAAGATGGTTTTTCCTAGAGTAAGACGTACTTTCTCTCCTTCTTGGTCCTCCTTGTTGCCGTATCATTGGTAATGCAACTGATTAATGAGGACCATGTACGTTTCCAGAAAAGACCACTTGGTTGGGCTTAGCTCCATTGGCATACATAATTCTATTAGTCTTCTTTTAGGGACTGGAGGAAATGTTGCCAGTAGCAGAAAATTAATACACTCTCTAATACAATGATTATCGTACTCGAGCACCACCAGCAACAATTTCAAAACGATTTCTGGGTCTTGGTCTTAGTAAGAATTATGATGAACTCTATCTTATCCCCAAGCAATCAGAGCTCTCCAAGAGGATGATTATCTTAACTACTTCCTCCATTAGGCATCAGCCCACTAAGCATTTAATGACACCCTATATAGGAACTTCCAAGGGCTTTCTACAGTAGACCTAAGCCTCTCTAAGAAAGATGCTAAGCATTATTTTTTCTATAAGTAGGAAATTCCATTCACAGGTAGTTTCATAGTAAAGGGTCAAGAGATACACTAAGCATTTCTGAGAAAGGAGAGAATGTTTTTGGGAATTCAGTCAGAACTCAGAAAATTTTAATAACCACATGGGAATTCTAATGAAACTTAAAAAGGTGTGAATTATGAGAATATGTAAATTAGAATAGAATAAAGGGTTGCACTATATTTCAGTGTGACTTGTGTAAGTCATCCCTGTCCCCATGAAGGAATTTGAGATTTGGCAAACTTTTCCTGCCGGCAGCCTAAGTGAATCATAAATAACTTGCTGACCAGCTATGGAAACTGCATCTGTGCCTATTCCAGCACAGCACAGATCTAGCAAAGACAAAATGATAAAGGAGCTTAGTTCTCTGTCTCCCGGAATAAGGACTAGACTGTGGCAAACCCACAGGCTATTTCTTCACAGGATTACTTGTGGGGTCAAGAGAAATTGTCCTATTGGAGGACGTTGTGAGACCCGGGTGAGGAGATTTGAGCTGGGGCAAAGCAGATTCACCAAAAACCCACTCCTCTTTGCGCAGCCTGAGAATTGACATTCTACCATCCTTTGGGTGGGAGCAAGATAGGACCTCTTTGCAGTAATAAAGCATGTTCTTGGGGGGCCTACAGGCATCCCTATTTACAAAGTTCCCAGGAACAGAAGGAAAAGCAGCATCATGAGCCCTTAGAAACTCTATCAGGTGACGTGGTCTCTTGAGGACTTGCCTAGCCTGCCCCAAGGAGGTCACCCTGCCCTGACCTTGTGGGTGCTCACAACTGACAGCAGGCTTATGACAAGGAAAGCTGGTTTTTAATGATTTCCTTGGCTTTATTATTTAAACCAATTGGACTAGAAAGACTAAAAAAAAAAACACTAAGGATTTTTTTTTTTAAATAATAGTTAGAGGCCTGGTATATATTTCAAACTGGGCTTGTGCTTGGCTACATTCTTCATTAAACATTTACTGAGCTTCTGCTATATGCCAAGTAACTGTGCTGGGACTGAACCATGCAGACGTTAGTAAGGCACAGTCTGCCCATCACAAGCTCAAAATCCATTAGAGGATACAGGTATCCCTACTGATAGTCTTCATAAAACAAAAGCACTGCTATAAGAGGCAGGCTGTTGAGTTTCAAAGGAAAGACACCTAATTCTTCCTTACAGAGATAATACTTGAGCTGTATCTTGAAGGATAAACAAACATTCAGAATGGGAAAGAAAAGGCAAGCAGAAAAGGAAAGCCATTTTAAGCAGAAGGAGCAGTATGTACAAAGACTCAGAGACCTGGGGAAGTGCAACCTGATTAAGTACACTCTTAGCAGCTCATTGTGATGCATGCTTAAGGCACCTGAGGAAGAGTGACCAAGGGTGAAGCTAAATGTTTAAAAGATCGAAATCATACATGGCTACTTATGTGACACTAAGGGGGTAAGACTTTATTCCGTAGGCAATAGGAAGCAAAGAAAATATTTTAAGAAAAATGATGATGTGGTCTTATTAGATTTTGGCAGCTCATGGAGAACTGATTGTAAAAGAGTAAAAAACAAATAAATCAGGCTGACATTGGATATGATGAGACAATTAAGCAATTAAGAGACTACCTCACAGGTCCACTGGTCATTTGGGCAATGATAAGAGCCCAAATCAAGGCAGCCTTGATGAAGAGAGCAGAGAGACAAGGGGAGTTTAGGAGTTAAAATGATGAAACTCTATGATTGATTTGATGTGGTTGAAGAGCAAGATGAAGGAGCCAGAGAGTCTGAATTAGAGCGCCAAGATGGATAATGTCACCATCTGCCAAAATGGGCCATAGGAAGGAGGAACAAGCTTGGGGCAGGAGAGTGATGAGGAGGTCAGTATGACAAATGATGACTTTCCAGGAGGAACCTATGGAATATCCAGGCAGTGAGCCTAACAGAATCCAGACCACAGGCTTGCAAGAAATGGCATAGTCTCAACCTTCATTCCTATTACCAATTTTGCATGATTTAAGAGACCATTCCTTTATTCCACCTGTCAACTCATTCACTACTAGGAATCTTTAGAGGACACCTTGTGCCCCAGTTCTTTCTGACACCTTGGCAAAGACTCGTGGACCTAAACTGACCGCAGAAAGTTTTCTCGTTGATTCCTTGGCTTCCAAACTAGGCCACATGGCCAGACTGATTAGGATTTTAGTGAGTTAGAGATCTTTAGGAAGAATATTTTAAACCCAGTCCTGTTCTACTATTCTAACCACTAAATCCGTCATTCTTTCAGGGTAGTAAAAAGGTGTGGTGGAAGAACAAACATTTATTTTTTTATCGAGTATGTGCTACATGCTGTGCTGGACATTTTATATATATTGTATTCCTTAATCCTAGCTAGGCATTATAATCCCTGTTTTAGATATGCAAAAACCTAATATGATATGAGAAGACCTCTGAGGCTCCCAGAAGTCACGTGCCCACTGTCATGCTGGTGGTGAGTGGCAGAACTATGGTTCAAACCCAGGTCCCTGAGATAGCTAAGCCCATGTAATTTCCATGCTACTATACTCCTAGTGTTTCTGCCAACCTTATTTTAGTCTGCCACTATCTTGTATAGAAAAAAGAGGGAGTAAAATACCGCAGAAAATTAGTCTTAGTCTGTGAATCACTAACAAATCGTGTGGTCCGGCTAATGACATTATTGTAGCTTTATACCATTTTATCTATAGAATGCATGAGATTTACATTTTTAAAAATTAGAAGCTTCCAGTCTATCTTCTTTGCCTCAGTCATGGCTACCAAATGTATCATTGCTAAACCACAAAAGACTATGTTAAAGTAACATTTGTTAAAGTAACATTAAAGGGTCTGGATTTAAAAAAAAAACAAACAAACAAAAACAAACCCACAAGAGCAGTGAAACTGAAGCGTTATAGTTGAAACCTCCTCCTAACTCACTCGTGGTGCTGGCATGGACAGACTGGGTGCTGTGAGACCACCCACTGATCCGAGGCTCCCACCACAGAGACAGAACAAGAGAAAGCTGTGAACACCCCGGCTTGTAAGGATTCAGATCAGACTGATAGTGCTTCTTTTAAAGAAGTTATTCAGTGTCTCTCCCTATTTTTCCAGTCATATTTTAGAAGGGGGAAAAAAGCCAATGTGTTTTTTTAGTTTGTTTGTTTGTTGTTTTGTTTTTACCACTTGGTTTAGAAAGGCAGGGTGTGAAACACTTCACTCTCATCACTTTCCAGCCAAAAGAGAACATCTGTCACGTGCTAACAGGACATAATCCCTCCTTGAAAGGCATAAAGACACATTCAGGGAGCTACCAGGGTCAAGAGTAAGCTAAAGAGTCGTGGTGATTCCTTCCTGTGGGGCTGCCAGGAAATATCGCAGACCTGAAACACCTTTCAAAACAGAGAAATCAAGCCCACAGTAAAGGAAAGACAATGAAGGAAAGAGGAGCCTTCGGGTTAAGGGTCTGCCTCTTCAGATTCTTTCCTGCATTTATTTATTTATTCATTTGGTCAGTAAGCCTTAATTAAGAAGCTACAATGTTCCAGGTTTCAAGGAAATAAAAATTAATAGGAGGCATAGTTTCTGCCCTTGGAGAAATCACAATCTAATGCCACGGCAGTCAAGTAAACACACAAGTACAATGTAGTAGGATACATGTCAGGAAATGTTTAGAAGCAAGTGCTCTAGGAGCATAAAAGAGGGAGAAGCTAGTTCCACCTGCCAGGGAGATGTCAGTGAAACCCCCACTGAGGAGAAAACATTTATGGTGAGTCTTCAAGTATCACAACTGACCTGGAGGTATTAGTAAAGAAAAGTATGTGAGGATGAGGAAAAGGCAGGTGTAAAGGCATGGACTCGTAATACGTTCATCTTGACCGAAGCTTAGGGGTGATGAGGGGCTGGGGCTGGAAGGTAGCAGCATGAGGGAAGGCGTAACTGAAAATATACTCAAATCCTGGATCACAGGGAGCTTTCCTTATAGGGAGAGATGTTTGGATTTTTATCCTCAGGTCAAGAGAGAGGTCTGTAGAAGTCAAAGCAGGGAAATAATCTGAGAATTAGGTCATTTGGGAGAAGCTCCATAGTTTGGAATTTACTGAGAGGGCATATGAAATCATTTCTCTGTTAAGGCGAAAAAAAAAAAAGGGGCTAAACAGAGCAGAGGAGATAAGAAGGAAGGATCTGACATCACAGAGAAAAATCAAACCCAGGGCAGAGGGCTCCTGAGTTGAGAAATGCCTCCTCAAAATGAGGCATAGCTGAAGTAAGGATGGGCCCCTCACACCCTCAACCCATTCTTCTCTTCCACTTCCATGGGAGGAAAGACAGAGCACACGGCCCTGGCATTCACCTAAGATTTATCCTCAGAAGAAAAAAAAAGCAAGGAAGTAGTAGGCAGTGGTAACATGGGAATTTAGGATGCACAGAAATCTCTCAGTATGCAGAGAAGTAGGGCTTCCTCATTGAGGTGTAGAGATGACCAGTGCCCCATTTTGAGGTAGTGTGGTTTCAGCTTCCCCAAATGGCCGGATCTGGGTCTCAGGAATCAACATCTAATTACTAACTGTAATGACTACCTGTAATTAGATGTTCTTCCTAGAATTCCTCACTAAAGAAGTCAGAATAAAAATGTTTCAACAGACTTGTTGAGTTGTAACAGCCCTATTTCCAAAGCATGGAACACACTGGTACAGGAAAGAGGTCAACAGAGAAAAAGAGGTTATTGAAGAATGAGTCTCCAAATTCAGCAATGTCCAGGAAGAAACCAGTACTATGCTAGTCTGAATCAGGGTGCTTTTCCCATCCTACTAGAATCCAAAGTTATGGTACATGATCAGAGCTGGTCCGAGAAGTATAGGAAATCTGACCATCCCACGCTGCCTACATCAGGCTCAATCCTACACTGCTCTGCTCCTCCTGAAGAAGGAAAGTGATGGAGATGAAGGCTGGACTCTCCTGTGGTCTCTGTCCCATTATCTGTTTAGAGAGGAAGGCCAACTCTGCTGAAGACAAAAAAGAAAATGGTCTGTCCAGGCAACAGCTCTTCTCATCCATCCAGAAGGACTAAGAGGGGGAGAGGCAGAAGAGGATCAAAGTCTATCATAGTAGGCCCTTGGGGAAGTTTTGCAGTCAGACCAGAGACACTCTGAGAAAAGCATCTCTTCTGTCTTCTGAGGGTTCTGGCGTTGGAAAGGAGCAAGCAAGATCTGTATTGGAAATCAGACATGAAAACCAAAACTAGGTTTCAAATTGCTACTTGGCTTTTTTTCTTTAAAGTGATAAGCAAGCTTATTTTCCCAGTATGTGTGTATATATGTGTGCATACTCACACACACACACACACATACACATCAGCCCCAACTTTAGGGAAAGTCTACATAACTGCAGCTTTAGCCAACCCCACTTCCCCATACCTTACTAGGACTTGGTAAACCTTAAAAGGGAATACTGTCTGACTAAAGCCAGACAACTGGCCCCTTAAGAGCACATTTATAATTTATTTATGGCTTAATATTTTCCACTGATAGGATTAATAAATCATGTTTTCATTCAACTTGTTTTCTCTGAGGTATGAATTTCTCTATTTTGATACCAGATCTTAACATGTTTTATTTTGCTTGTCCATTTTCCAGTTCATTTTTGCAGCTACAGAGAGAAATTTATTAGTCTGTATTGCCGTCTTTCTGCTGTTGTGGAGCTGGATTCTCTGAATACCCAACAGTCCCTCAGGGAAGCGATCTCAGACAGCGAGGTTGCAGCTGCCAAACAAAGACACCAGCAAGTTTTAGATTTCATTCAGGTAATTGTTTCTCCCGGGGTGGAAGGAAGGGAGAAGAGGCAAGGTGGAAGGGGTGAAAGCCAAGCATGGGAAAGGACAACAGTCCAGGCTGATTCAAAGAACACAGTGTGCAAGTAGCCTCTTGAGTTGGTTAAAATGTGGAGCTCAGGGAGTTAAGTTTTCAAACAAAGCCTTAAGAAAAAGTAATGGATAAATCACAATATTACTAAGAACTGTTATCAGTCACCATGGTAGCTAGTGGTAGCTTTCGATACTGGAGAGAAAAATCACCCCCCAGAAGCAGCAACTAGAATATTATTCTTACCTTGCAGCCCATTGACAATTCCAATGGAAAGAAAAATCATATCAATTAACTCAGTATCTCAGAGGAAAAAAAAAAAACGACCTGCCAGTTTATGTTAACCCAAATCCAATTAGAACTACAATTCCTCATGTTTGGGGCTTCTTTTTAACAGAATTGACACTTTAAAATATGGCTGTCAAGATCAGAAAATGTGTTCCCTGCCCATGACCTTGTCTGGAAAAGCCTATGGCGACACCTTAGCGTCTTGTAAAAGGGGTACTGACTAGTAGTCAAGAGAATTTGAATCTGGCCCGAGGTTGCCTCTGAATCCCTTAGCCAATCTTTCCATCTTTCTATTCATCAGTTACTCAGTTCACAAAATGAGTAGAATAGCAATAGCCCCATGATAAATATCACTTTGATACATATTCGGTTCAATTGGATTAATTTTATCAAACAACCAGGTGTCAGGCACTGTATGCAAGATATAAAGTTGAATTAAACATGGTGCCTGATCTTAAGGACTTTAAAATCCATCAGGGTTGGTAAGAAATGTGTGTGTAAATACAATTTGTGAAATGTGTTAGGTGTCAAAAAGATATAACAAAACAAATGAGTTCTGTGTCAACACAAGGAAGTAAAGATTTACTTTCACTTGTATCATAAACGTTCCCATGGAGGCTGTAGCTGACAGCTCGCCTGGCCTATCTAACAAGGATAGGTTAGGCTACAGTGAGGTGAAAGAGAATGTAGAGCATTCAAAGAGAAAGTATAAACAGATAAGGCGGACAGAGCAGGAAAATAGTATTTGGGGAATGATAAGTAGTCAAGAGTGGTTGGGGCATAAATTGAGTGATGAGAGGTAGAAATTAGGCAAGAATGAAAGATAGCAATGATAGCAGATCACGAGGGCTTTACCAGAAGCCACGGATAAGAAATTTGTACTTTAAAATAGTGAGATACCCAAAGTTTTGAAGAAAGTTAAGTTACAGGTTCTCACGACTCTCTTTAGGATGGATTCAAGCAGGGAGGATATTCTTCCCATATACATTGGTACAGCCATGCGGGTTGTTTATTGTAAGCATTCACTCTGATTGGTCAAGCTCACCAAATAAGGATTTGAGGAGAAGACTAAAGGCAGGGAAACCAGATGAGAAGCTATGATAACTATCCAGACAAGATGTAATGAGGACTTAAGATGAAGAAATGCTGTGAACTTTGGGCCAACAAATCTCTCTTAGTCCCAATCAGTCCCAATCTCCTCAACTGTAAAATAAGATTGATAATAACAGGGCTACCTCATAATGTTACTGAGAGAATTCAATGAGATAATGTATATAAAACACTCAGCAAAATACCTGATGCATAGTAGGTATGCGATAAATTATATATTTATTTATTCATTCACAAGAATGAGAAACTCTTTGTTATATGAATATGAGAGATTCAAGGTGTTTAAAATACTCAGGAAGAAATTATTGTAATTTACTTGCAAAATGGCAATCAGACAAATCTTTAGGATTATCCTACTTTCCTCATACTGTGAATGAGATATTCTAGGAGACAACTCGGAATAAAGAAATAACTTTCAAGAAGTTGCTTTCTCCATTGGCTTGAGAATGTAGAATTTAAAAATGTAAAACGTTTACTTCATTGATTTCATTTCCAGTAAAAATGGAACATAGATGGTGGGGAAGGGGCAGGAAAAGGAAGAATGCAGCATGAGGAGATTAGGAAAGACTGGCTTATTTTTGAACCCTTGTAAGGGATAATGGAGCATAGTAAGAATAACAGGGCCGGGCACGGTAGCTCATGCCTGTAATCCCAGCACTTTGGGAGGCTGAGGCCGGTGGATCACGAGGTCAAGAGATCGAGACCATCCTGGTCAACATGGTGAAACCCCGTCTCCACTAAAAATACAAAAAAAATTAGCTGGGCACGGTGGCACATGCCTGTAATCCCAGCTACGCCAGAGGCTGAGGCAGGAGAATTGCCTGAACCCAGGAGGCAGAGGTTGCGGTGAGCCGAGATCGCGCCATTGCACTCCAGCCTGGGTAACAAGAGCAAAACTCCATCTCAAAAAAAAAAAAAAAAAAGAATAACAACAGATCAGAAGTTGGTCCCAGTGGAGATTGGGAGGCTGAGATGGGAGGATCTCTTGCACACAGAAGTTCAAGACCAGCCTGGGCAACACAGTGAGACTTCATCTCTATTAAATAAAAATAAAAAATAAAAAGAAGTCAAAAAGCACACATTTTTAGTCCCAAATCTTCTGATAAACTCTGGAGTATTGGACAATTCATTCGATCTCTGGGGGCCTCAGTTTCCTCATATGTAAAATGAAAGGACTAAACTAGATGACATCTTTGGGTCTAGTTGGCTCTAACATTTTATGACTTAACAACCAGAGATATTTTTAGAGGAACGCTCTCTACCCATGCCTTAGGTTCTGTTTCTGCCTTATTCCACTTAGGCCTCCCTGAATCCAGTATATTCATCCAAACAGGAGGCTGACTTTCTTCAGTCTGTTGTGGTCTCGAACTCCTCCCAGAGTTCCCTGGCTTCATTCCTACTCCCTGACTACTACCCTTGCTCCTTTCTTTTCCATGTAGCCTACGGTTCCACTGCCTTTTTCTTCTTCTTTTATAGCACACCATTAAGTGGGCTGGATAAAGGCAGACCAGGCTGGGAATTCTTCAAAGTTCTAGCCTGCTCTGGTCTCCCAAAGCAGGTAACTTGAGAGCCCCCTCTACATACTTCCTTTCCAGTAAGCCAGGTACACACAGACTTGGATAAAAGCCAGTTCTCAAAGGGTTCAAAATATAACTTCTTGGTCAGAGTAAAACAAGACCATCTCCCTACACCCGCAGCCTTCAATGAACCACTTTTCTCTTCCCAACATGGATAACTTCACTGAGTGGAGATAATTCAATATCATCTGCTGCATGTGCGCGCTCTCTCTCTCCTCTCGCTCTCAATGAAAACCAGCTGTAGCCACTCACCCATTGGTGTTCACAGCTCAGCCCACCACACACCATAACCTGCAGAGGCAACCGCCAGTTGTGAGAGCATTTGTATGATTCCAGATCTAAGACAGTGTTGAAGTCACTACACAAACCAAACATTGTAAAGAGCAAGGGAGTCTATGTAAATACAGTTAGAAAAAGAAGCCAAAAAGTGCAGCCAGAGAGGGGGAGGGCTGGACCAAGGGAGGCATAGAAAATCATAGATAAGGTATACAGGCTTTATAGACAGCACATGCAGCAGAAATGTCAAAGTGTGAAGACATGGAGCTTGGCATATTTTGAGCTGCTAAAACCTAAAGGGCAATTAGGCTATAATTTATATACTGTAATGCTTCAAATGCTCCTAAGCTGTAATAGAAACACAGCTCATTAAATATAGCCAATCTATCATCCCCTCGAGCACCTTGTAGCTGTGCTGTGAGAAAACCAATCACCTTTACATTTTAATAAAAATATTATCTTGCCTGAGTACAGAGAAAGGAGTATAATTTATGAGATGAAAACTGAAATTTTTAAAGGGCAGGGTGAGAAATGGACGCAGAACTTTTAATCAACAGACCTAGGGAGTTCGTGGTCTTTCTTTTTTAAAATGTGTCAGCAAGTCTTTAGAAGGTGAATTTGGACCTCAAAATCGGGGGGATTATGTTGTCAGTTACTTTTAGATCAACAGTATAAGGTAAAATGGGTGAAAATTGGCCTTCTTTTGGAGCAATTAGCTAAGTCTCATTAAACTCAATCCACAGGCCTCCCTACACCCATATGGTTTTTAAAATCTTTCTTCAGCTAAGACCTCTTCACATCACTGAGAAAAATTAAGAAGTAAATATTGTTTCTACCTATTTTTTAAAAAAGTTCTACAGTAAATCCCTCTATTCATCCTCAGCAATAAAGCTGAAACAATCTTATCCAAAGAGAGCCGGTAGATTATTTATTAATAATTATATTAGCCTCCTAGGGTTGCTGTAACAAATACCCATAAACTGGGTTTAAAATAACAGAAATATATTCCCTCGCAGTGCTAGAGACCAGAAGTTTGAAATTAAAGTGTTGTCAAGGCTACACTCCCCCTGGAGGCTCTAGAGAAGAATCTAATCTCTGCCTCTTCAGTTGCTGGTGGCTGCCTGCATTCCTTGTCTTCTGGCCACATCTCTTCAATCTCTCTTTCTGTAGTCACATTGGCTCCTTCTCTTATGTCTGACAAATCTCCCTCTGCCTCATTCTTATAAGAATGTCCTTATGAGGACATTTCTTCTTAGAATTAGACTCCACAGAGAAAATCCGGGATAAACTCCTCCTCTCAAAATCCTTAGTTTAATCATATCTTTTTGCCATATAAAGTAATATTTACTTTGTATCATATCAGATAATTTTCACAGGTTCTGGAGATTAGGATATGAATGTATTTTGGGGGGTCCCATATTCAGCCCACTACAATAATCATAATTGTCACTATAAAAACTGAAAATTTTATAACAATATATAGTAGATAAAGTACACTCATCCACATTTTCTTACTTAATCCTTGTAATAACTGTTTGCAAGTAGAGAGCTAAAGAATTAGATCATTCATTCACTAAATAGTCATTTTTTTGAATACATACCTACTCTGCAAAGCTAAAAGCAGAAACAACAAAAACACAATCCCTGTCCTTGTCAGGCACTCTAAAAGCTATCCACAGTCTTGCGGTGCCTTTAAAATAACTTTCAACAAGCTTATGCTGCATGAGGTAGGGACAGTAAAAGGCAGCTGCGAGAACAGCAGTCTCAATGGGAAACTTCATCTGAGTCTCATCTGGGATTCCCACTTTGGCTTTACCCCCAGACTTTAGATTTCACCCTTCAAAACGACTTAGTGCCTCCTCATGGGCCTGCCCACTGTTGAACTTCCTGCCCAACTGACCAAGCTAAAAAAGCCTGCAGCTCAATCTCGTGCTTTCATCACCGACCCTGAATACTCTGCTGAGTCTTGTCACCACGGGACTGATGAGAGTTAGAAAGCAAAGGAAAATGGCTGTAGACCGTACACTGGCATCCACTAGTTGACGCTAGCTAGCTTTTCACTCAACTTGGCGGACTGAATGTCACAACTTCAGACCTACTCTGTGTTTATGTGGAGGACCGGGTCTGTGGATAGTCTTAATGAGTAGGTTTTAAGTACAGATTAAAGATCTATTAAGAAATTTTGAAAATAAAATTTAACACTGGGTAGTGTTTTAGTTTTAAAACTTCCACAACCAGAAAGAGATTAACCTTGCATTACTCACATAATGAATACCTTCTATCTGAAAGTTAAGTGACACCAAATTTCCAAATGTTCCTCAAAAATAAATTGTAAAGCTTCAGAGATAGAAGGGACCTTAGACTTCATGTGGACTAGCTGCCTCTTCTTGCAGTTGAGTAAATGGGCCCAAAGCAGTTATTGGCTTGCCCAGGTCATCCAGTGAAATTAAATACGAAGCTGACCACAAGCTCCAGGGTCATAAGAAAAAATTATGTTTCACCAACAGCCCCTCCTTGAGACAGAACAATGAGAAAGCTCATGGTCAGTGTCTATCAAGATCTGGGAAACTTTTGTCATCTTTATAGAGACAGACGCAAAAGTCTGAGTGAATTTTATGCAAATAGTTTCAAGGAAACTGCTATTGTACTTTATGATGAAACTGTCATTAAAACGGCTTTGGTAAACCAAAAATCAGAATGTAACAATCTAAAATGGACCACCCTAGAAATGTAAAGATGTCTAAATTATTTAAGAATAAGGTGTTTAGGCTGTTTTGTACTTTAGAAGCACTTACTCCATATGTAGGAAAGTAGTAAGCCGGGATCACGCCTGTAATCCTAGCACTTTGGGAGGCCGAGGCGGGCACATCACCTGAGGTTGGGAGTTCAGACCAGCCTGGTCAACATGGAGAAACCTCTTCTCTACTAAAAAAATACAAAAGTAGCTGGGCATGTTAGCTCATGCCTGTAATCCCAACTACTTGGGAGACTGAGGCAGAAGAATCACTTGAACCCGGGAGGCAGAGGTTGAGGTGAGCCGAGATCCTGTCATGACACTCCAGCCCGGGCAACAAGAACAAAACTCTGTCCAAAAAAAAAAAAAAAAAGGTCCCAAACCCTCTACTTAACAAAAATATTCCAGCACAGCTTTGCTTTTCTAGTTCACATAGAAGAACTAGGACTACATTTCTTTCTTAAGATATTCTGAAATTCAGACGTTATCATATGCCTTCTTAATGAGAAATATTTAATTATAATCTGAGAGATTATAACCCTTTATATGTGTGAGCAACATACCCCGAAATGTTACAAAGCACTCTCAAGTTCATCATTTCAACTCTTCATCCCAGCAACCCTGGGAGGGATAAAGGAAAAATGTTTTGGCCACATTTTACAAGTAAAGCAGCTAAGGCTGCAAAAGGTCAAGTGACTTGCTAAGAGTTATTGTAGAGTTAATAAGTGGTATATACCAGCTAGTATCCAACTATTCCACATTTTCCCTAAATGACATAGCCTCTCAGGTTAAAAATATGCAAAACACAAAATATCACCAAACAAAAAAGAAATATTTTGTGGCTTAAAAAACCTATGTTAAAAATATTTTATTCTCTCTCAAAACCAATGTTGTGGAAAGTGGACCATCTTGGACTCTCAGGGAAAGGTATTCCTTTTTAATCACTGCTTGGTAACTTAGTGTCTTTTACCATTTCATTCTAAAGCAAATTGATGAAGTCTGGCGTGAAATGAGATGGATCATGGATGCTCTACAGTATGCAAGATACAAACAACCAGTTTCTGGCTTGCCCATCACTAAGCTGATAGACCCCTCAGATGAACAGAACCTAAAGAAGATCAATTCTACATCGTCATCACATATAGACTGTCTTCCATCCCCACCCCCATCCCCAGAGATGCACAGAAGAAAGGCAGTGAGTGGTAAGCAATGAGATCTGAAGTTCTGTTATTCAGTCCCTGGACTTTTGGTCCTCTCTCCACTGATGAGGACTTCTGTGCTGAGGTATTGGCTCCACAGTGGTTGAAGTAGTTGAAAACATTGCTCAGGGGTAAAAGTCTAAGAGCATAGGGGAAACACAATCAGAACAGTAGAAGGATAGGAAACTAGAGCAGTAGCCAAGATCAATGCCATTTAGGGGCAGGGAAGATTCATTCCAGTTCTAGCTCATACTTACAAGATGCAAAAAGATACAGAGCAGGGATAAGCCGTCAAGGATGCAGAATGGGGACTGCTGTGATGCCAGATGAGGGCCTCACAAGCCAAGGGAATCTGACCCAGTCAAACTAAGGCAGGAGAACAGGCCCAACCTCTATTAAATAGCATGTGACAAGAATGAGGCAGGAAGCAGGTCCCAACCTGGGTGAGAGTTCAGGAAAAACTTCCCATCCATGTAGCACAATGTGCTAGCGTGGAAAGTGGGAAAGAGAGGAACCTTGGATAAACTAGAATCCTGAAACTGAGTCCATGTAAGTGGCTTGGCCTAATCGTGGCTATAATGAACTTATATAAACAATCTGGAGAAGATACCTAGCAAAGCACATCTCCACCCTTGGGTATTAAGTCTGACAGCAAAATCATGACTGGGCTAATATAAATTTTTACAAAATACCTCTATGCTTTAAGTAGAGAGAAAGCATATAGGTAAAAGCAGTAAAAAGCTCTTGCCTAGCCATGCCAGGACTAGTGCCATTTTCAATTATAGTAGTGGCAATTCAAAGCATCTTTCTTGATTCTATAGTTTGTAAGAGCTCCAATTTTGTAAGCTTGATAATAATACTTTTAATAAATAGCCTAGCTTTGTGGACTTGTCCCATAGGGGGCGGCATGGTGTAACAGAAAGAGCTTGCGCTCAGAAATCAGAGACCTGAATTCAAATCCCAGCTTTGTTTTACTACCTGTATGAGTTTGAACAGATTACTACATCTGAGGCTCGGTTGTCACCTGTGTAAAATAAGAATAATATCTATACCTTGAAGAGTTACTTGTGAATAAGGTAATATGTATCAAAGATGCATGGCATATATTAGACAACATACTGTCAATATTATCTTTAATGTTATTTGTATTAGAGAAAACTTTAGTGGGAATCTGAGCCTTTTCCATGAGTAAGTTTGTGTGTGCACCTATATTTTAAAAACTCCAACGTGTAAAGTCAAAACTTGGCAGATGGAAGACCTTAGTAGACAGCTAATTCACGTGACCAAAGGAGTCTATGACTTAGCCAATAACAAAATATTTAAGTACTTTCTAGAGTACATTTTTATAGACTACCACTGGGCTAGGGATACAAATAAAATATCATCTCTTCCAGAAGTTAAGCTAATGAGAGAAACAGATACATCAACAAAAAATTACCTGGTAATTGCATACCTGCTATAAAGTTTATCAGAGGCACTAAATCTTAAACTCCTGTGATCAAAGAGAGCTTCCTGGAGGAGGTGACAAAATCTGGTATGAAGGATAAACAGGAGTTGAACAGAAAAACAGGAAAGAGAAGGGCATTATAAGCAGAGAAGCAGATTGTACAACAACTGTTTGTGGTTTAGGGAACTGCAAGCAGTTTGGCTGAAACTCAGGATCTAAGAACATTGTTCGTTTTTTTCTACTTAAAAGAAATATTTACTGGCCACCCTCTATGTGCCAGACTCTCTTCGAAATAACAGAGATACAGTGATACTTAAAGCAATGTATGCTCCCATAGAGCTTACTTACATTCTAGAAAGAGGGACAACAATGAAAACATAAACAAGGTAATTTCAGATCATGAAAATTCCAATGTATAATACAAAACAGCAGTAGGGGTGGGAGGAGGCAGGAAGAGTTGTGTTGAATTCACTAGGATGATGATCAGCAGAGGCCTGTCTGGAAAGATGACATTTGAACCAACCCCAGAAGAAGAAGCTAGTAAAGCAAAGATTTGGAGTTGGAATATTCCAGACAATAAAACAGCAAAAGGCCCTGAGGTAGGTGAGGGATAGAAAGAAGGCCAGGGTCTTTGATGCACGGTGAACAAAAGGGTGGATTGTGAGAGATAGGGTAGAGAGCAAGACAGAAGTCAGACTAGGCAGGGTTCTGTAGGCCTCAGTAAAAAGTCTGGATTTTATCCTGTTTGTGATGGAAAGCCATTGGAAACTTTTAAGCAAGGATTGATAAAAATCTGAATTACTCTTTAAAATCAAATCTGGTTGCCGTATGAAGAGACCATAGCAGGAAAATACTGAAGCAGGGTGACAAAGTAGAAAGTTATTAAAAAAGGAGATAACCAAGTTTTCTGGCTTGTGTGCCTTGGGGTATCATGATGGCGCTTACCAAAAACAGGTAAGAAAGAAGGAAAGACAAGCTGGGGTGGCTGGGCATGCTGAATTTGCATTGGTTGTGGAATATTCCGTACGAAAAGAAACATTCAGGAGAAAAGAGGCTGCGTGGAGCCTGGAACTCGGGAAAGAAAACTGGGCTAACAATATAGATTTGAGAATTTGTTGACATGTGAATGATGTTTGAAGCTGGGGAAATGCTTGGGATTCCCTACAAAGAGTAGATAGAATGTGAAGAAGAGACTGTGGAAGGATTCCTGTGGAATGGAGCAGCAAGACCTCTTAGACTAAGAAGGAACAACCAGAGAAAGAAGATTAAAAAATCATAATAAGAGAGTAGTGTCACAGAATCAAACTGCATAGAGAAAGGTTAAATTCAAAAACCGAAAAGCTTCTGTTGTTTTGCTTTTCTCAACAAGGAAGTCATTGGTGATCTAGATGAGAGCAGTTTTTGAAGGGAAAGAAATAGAAACTGAACAGAAGCAAATCAGGGAGTAAATGGGAGATAAAGAAGTAGGTCAGGAATTTTCACTCTTCAAGTCTTGGCTGCAAAAGGGAAGAAGCGGGGAAGGTAGTAGCTAGAGAAGTGTAGGGTTGAAAGGGCATTTTTAAGGCAGGAAAGCTACGTATGCTATGATGTTCCACAGCTTGTTTAACTCTGCAAACAACTCTTCATTTCTATTTCCACCTTCGCAGCCCTTGTCTGCCCTCTCAGCTCACAGAAACTTCCCAGTGTTTAAACTTCTCTTGGCCACAGGGTCCTTAGTGGATTCCTCCCTGGCTGTATGAGGGTGGCCTTCTCTATGCCACAGAAGTGCCAAACTCTCACGTTGGCCTGAGGACGGGTTGCACCACTCCCTGCTAAGAGGATCTGGCCAATTACATTCAGATTTTATTATTAACTTAAAATGTGAGTGATCATCATTCCGTTTCTTAAAATATAATTCTCTCTTGGGTCCATTTACTTCTTGGAAGCCAAGATTCCATGAGCTATGAAACACAAAGATGTGGAAAGCAGCAAATGACAAATGGAACCCAGTGACGGGGAAGTGCTGTTGAAAGCTTGGGAGAAACATTTAGTGTCTTACCCCACACAAAAGCAGAAGCATTTCGGAGCAATGAAAACTGTCACTGCATACTCTGTCCTTTCCACAAGTGTGACCACTTTGAATTGTTCAAAAGCCACTTATGAAGAGGGGAAAATGCAGTTTAGAGGTACATACCTGCTGGGTTACCCACAGGTCAAAGTTTGCAGCACAATTCCATTCTGTGTGTATAGGATTCACTAACTTCTAAGGAGCCTGCTAGAAACATAGAGCCTAACACAAACCTAGCCTCTGATGCCAGCCCAAGATTCTGTTTTAAGGCTTGTGAGTATCTTGAATTTGTTTGTGTAAATCTGTTGGGATAGGGGGGATGGAGAGTAAAACTCCTTCGCTTCCCATTTCTGTGTGGTTTTCAAAACACAAAGTAGAACTCCTCTGAGTCAATTAAAATTAAGCATCTCTCAAGGACCCAAGAGAGAAAGTTGGCTCCTAGAAAAGGCAGCTCAAGGCAGGGGGTAGAATGATTTGGTCCATCACATGGGTATTTTCTCTCCCACTCCTTTTCTGTGGGTATAGTGGTCACAGGCAGCAGCAATTTTTTTTTCCAATACTGCTGTTTCTCCTAGTGACACATGGGTGAGGCAATAGAGGGGAGTAGGGTGTTGTTTCCTTCAGATGCATTTGAAGGTTATCCTGATCTTCCAAATGTAAATCTTGGTAACCTTTTTTCAGATGATATTAAGAATACTATGGCATAAAATAAATAGCTCAAAAAATCAACAGGAATCTGGAGATATTATTTCTCTTGGGAAATCAGAAGGTAAAGAAACCCCAGCGGTTCTACCCAAGGCCTGATGAAAGATTCAGTAAAAGTCTTCATTTATAAATTATTTAAATTCTACTCAAACACAGTGTAAATAAATTCACCGAAGCACAATTACATATATACATAATTTTAGACAGCAGTACATTTAAACTGTGAAAATAGATTTTAGGGCAAATATGGATTATTATTCTTTTCTTTCTGTCCTGCCATGCCCCCTGCCTTTCAGAGAAAAGCAATAGCTTTAAGTCAATTATTCTTTCCTGAAATGTCATCTCCCCATAACGCCCTCAAAATCCACATCAACGCTACTCTGCTGTTGTTGGCCTGACCCACAGAGGCCAGGAGTTACAACACTTATTACAATGGCAAGAAAGCCAAGCTTCCTAAGCCAGCACTAATACTATGAGGAGAACTTTCATCAAACAGCTCCTGGGTCAACCAGAGGGGAAATTCAAGGTTCTACCAGTACTGGCCGGCCCAATGGGCCCTCTCGGGGAAATTGAGGAGCATAAGCAGGTTTATTAAAATAACAACTGGGCAAGGTGCCTACAATGGTTAATGAAGCATATGGCTGGAATCTGGGGATGAACGCTGCACTTTGCATTCTTTTCCAGGAAGGGAGGGAGCACTAGTGGCCTAAGTCCTTGGAAACTCTCCTCAGTGCCCTGGCTGGCATCCTGGAGATTTTCCCAGACTGTTCTGGGAGGGGTATCCCACTCTAAGCAATAGGTTCC